AATGAAGGTATTATAGTATTATTATATTATCACTATTTTAGGTTACAATCAAAGATGGCTTTTAAATATTTTCTCATGTATATGGTATATAACACAATAAGGAGAATTTGTGATACATGACATAAAAAGTCAATTTATGTTTTTAAATGACACGTGTACATGGACATAAATAACCTCTAACTTGTTAAATAAACACATTTGGCCATCAAATGAGCGTCAATTGAGATGGGAAATGCTAAAAATAAGCTATAAAATTCAGCTCACTGAACGACATGGGTAATTAACTCTTTGGTGTTTTGGACTTCCTTTTTGCGACTTAAAACCATCAAACGGGAACATTTTGCGCTTTTTATGTTCAGAGGGCGATCGCCGGTAATCCGAGGTGCAAAAGCGATAGAGAGGCGGTGCTCAGCGCATCGGAAAACTGTTATTTGGTTAGGTGTATGCACCTGTTTACGTGTAGACACTGCGTTAGATGATTTTAGTTCAGTCCATCAGAAATGCATTAGTAAAATGAACACTAATTTGATGTTCATAAATACAATATTTTATTTCTCTCATTTCCATGTCAAAATTTAAGTCAAGTAACTGACTTAAATTTTTACATAGAAATGAGAGAAATAAAGCAGGCCACCATTCTACTTAAAAAACAGATCCAGAATTCGCAATGATACTTCGAAAAAAATTATATGGTTTTGATTTATAGAATTTTAGAAATACTTGGTATGTCAATATGGTTGAAATAGGTACAGAGAATTTTCAGAGCGGTACCAACCCAACGATTTCTAAAGTAACCTAACTTTAACTTTACTTTAAAGACACCAATCCAGGTAAATTCATAAGTGAAACTTCTGAAAAGCGTTACCTAAAAATTCTTGTAAAGCCGCAATTCGCCCCCGTCAAAAAGCCAAAATCGACCAATGAAATTCAATTAAAACTTTTGTACGAGTAACCCAAGCCAGCCAACATTAGCTAAAGCTCGATTAATTATTACTCTCTTAATGGACAAAGGAACTCGCAACACTCATCAAACAAGACACGAACCAAACTAGACAAAAGCTTGAACGTAAACAGCAATCGTTCATTCACTGGAAGCTTGCAAAACTATCTCTTTTCTCTGTCTAGTTAAGATATATATCTGTCTTTTTCATTCTACAAGGGAAAACTCTGGAGCAGCTATTTGTTTTTACAGTTGAGCGCGGACGAACAAATTAGGTGGACAAACTGTTGAAACGGTCGAGGTGTCTATATTCCAGTCTGCGGAAATTCTTCTTTTAAAATCGTTTGAGAGAGAATGTCGCCACGATTGAACTGAGTGAGGTAATAATTTCCTCGCTCCATGGAGATGTTCGTTCGATCTTCGTATTATTGGCGGATACTTAAGGGATTTTCGAACGCTGTGACGATATCCCTTATAAGTGTTTTATTCTTTTCAGATTTTGCGCTTTTTTTATCTTATATTCTATTGTTATATGTTTCCGAAATGTACACATTACTGTTTACAATACAAATGTATATATTTAAAATTATTTGATGGTTTGCATTATTTTGCTTTTGTTTTTTATTTAGAATTAGAATTAAATTGATAAATATGTACGTAATGCGTAATATTATATTACATGCAGTTACTATTAACTGCATGTAATAAAATATTTATAATTTTTATATGCAATAACGTATTATATAACTTAGATCACTAGAACCATCTGTGTTTGGCTTCTATCATTACATGCAATACTAAACAGCGTAATTTGCACTTATAAAAATAATCAAAATAAACAATGTATTTAATTTGCAAACTAAATTAAATATATGTAATTGAAGAAATATGGAACACAAAATAACAAAGAGTGAAGTGGAAACTTTTATAAATAAAAATGTGAACGAACTCTCATGAAAAGCAGTTCCAGGTTTCGGGAAGCCATATTAGTTTTGTCCGTCCGTCTGTGTGTGGGTCTTGCGACGGATTTTACAACTTATTTAAAGATCTAAACAAAATTTGTGTTGGTTATATTTTATATCATTTTAAGTTTTAATATATACCACAAATGTAACATTGACTAAACGGAACATGGTAAAGAGTTAGCACTAAGTTACTGTTGTCGCATATTACTTAACATTAATCCAAATAAGAGATAAAATTGATATTACATATTATTGTAATTTCAAACTAAAAAAACAAATTTATAGTGCTAGCTATAGATAATGTTTTAATCCGCGGTTAAACTGCTAAGTGCCTCGATTTACTGTAATTTGTGAACTCAATTTTTCTTTCCATATAAGGATTAAAAATGTTTAAACTTGAATACAATATCAAGTTTCGTTACATCACTAGTGTTGAATATGTAAACATGTTTTTATCTATCTATCTGTCTGTGTGTTATTACTATAAGCTATACTTAAAATTTAGTGCCTTACTATTCCAATCAATTTACTAACTAAAAGTTATAAGTGTATTTATATTACCTATTGATTTAGTTAATCATATAATACTCTAAAATATTTAAGTAAATTATAAAATTAGTAAAATAACATTAGTAGAAGAAGAAAACTGTGTACTGTCAAATGGAAATAGACAGCCATAGCAGGCGCCAGACAAGCCGGCGCCCGCCGCCACTCCGACCCCGACGCCGCCGCCGCCGCCGCCGCGCCCTTACACACATATAGACGCATTATAGCCCGAACCAAACCGACTCCTTTAAGAAACTATGTAACTCGTTTCAATACCGATTGCGACCCGGCAACGAACTTTTCCTGTCGAAACTTTGTATGTAATCAATGTTCTATGAGAGTCGTAATCGCTATCCTCACAAACACAGACATGATACAATACTGCGACCATTTCCTCTAGAAATCCTCTTTTTCTATATTCTTTCAAGATTTCTGATAATCTCCTAATAATCTTGTCGTTCCATCTTCCAACCAAAATGTTTCATCCATGTTACTTGATTAAGTATATAAATAGCCAATACCTATTCGGAAGCTTGCTTTGGATTTGATTTACCGTTGCATCTAATAGTGTAGAAATAATTATTTATTTATAGAATTTACAAAAAATATTTACATATAAATTACATAATAACATCTTTGTTTCTATATTAGCGTTCAATTTTTTTTTAAATCTACTAAGATTAAATAAAATTTTAATCACTTACTTCAAGGCGAACATGTAGGTAATAGGATCATAATCATCACATATAGAAATATACCATAACATACAAAGTTTTTAATACAAACTAACTGCTAAAAATTATGTTTCTCAATAAATACATAGAAACGAGTTCTAATAATAAATAGCAGCAATTATTAAGAATTAATATAAACATTATATAAGTAGAATGAAAAATATAATGTTATAAATAATAACAGCCCAGCTGGCCCGTACCTACATAATACAGGATGTGTAAATAATATGATGAGAATAATGACGCATAGTGCTACGATGTGCGTGCCACGCTCAGAGCATTTGTAACACGGTGTATCTAACAATAATTCATTGGTCTGACTGCACCTACGCTATGTGAGCAAATTAGCAAAGGATCTTCTATAATCCTTCCCTTTTGTAGTGGTTCTGCTAAAGCTTTCAATAACAACTTTCCGAATAATTTAGATAAAGTAACGTGTTATTTATTTCTTTCTACATTTATACTGTCCTCTGAAGTAAAATAAATACATACATAGCAAATAAATCCAATACATTTTGAATTGACTGTTAAAATATTCTGTTCGACGGTATTTTGAATATTAAATAAATGAATATTACTCGAAATTGAACTAAAGTCGATTACTTATTTTACAATTAATAGATAGGTACAGTTTGTTTTTTCGTTATACAATATTTGTTAAACTCGTAAGGAAGACGTACAAAAATAGAGAAAAATTTTAAAGAATACACCTACAAATACTCTTGATGAGTAAATAAAGTGTAATTACCGTGAACATTCTAGCAATACTAAGCTAGTTATTGGATAATAAAACCTAGAGTTGTGTAAGAAAACAAGCTATTTATAAATCTGTCCATTTACGGGATCAGTTAGAGGCGTTGAGGCGACATCCACTCTATTTGTCTCGGCTAACACAACCGCTGCCCACTTCTCGTGTTGCCTCCCAGTAGTTTGCGATGAGGGTTTTATCGGTTTTTCTTTAGTGTTGATATTTTGCGTCTGTATTGAGATACCCACTATTCGAGAATGTATATTAACGAACAATAATAGGTAGCGACATATTCTAAACTCTATTCACGTCATGCAAGTATCTTTTAGAAGTATCGGCGAGTAGGATTAAAATCGAGAAAAAAAATATACAAATATTTATACGTTGTTATTGCGGGCAAAAAAGATAATATCTTCTTTTGGTGTTGTTCTAAAGCTATATTTTAAAACAATAAAGATATCTATCTATCTATTATTATATATATTGCTAAAAGTTCTGTATACTTTTTAGTCGAAAATCTATAAATAAAAATATTAATACAGGCAAAAAATTAAATTAGAGTATCGAAACGTTAGCTGAAAACAACACGCATTGTGTTCGGAAGTGACATGGCGCCGCATGGCCCCCAGAGCTGCCTTTGACATTTCGATACCGATTCCAAAATACAACCTACACATGAATGAAATAGGAGTTGAAATATAACGCCACACTTAAATAATATAATCTTTCGTTTCGCAGCTGCCACCGTCGCGAGGAAAATTTCCTTTTATTGTGTTAGCGAATGCTTATTGTATATCCGAACGTTTTCCCCATTGTAACAGCTACGGAGTCGCACCTCTTTGGCATTATTTCACAATTGTATGATGACAAATCGCAAAGGCGATACATTAAGTTCTTTTCGAAAGCAAAATTGGAAAACATTGCAGTTTCTATTGTGAAATAATTCACTGCGCTGTAATTTTGAAAGTAGGGCTCCATATAATTTTCAATAGACAGTGACTAATAGAAATAAGGCTTGGGTTACATAGGTACCTTGATAAATGTAACGTCTATAGATAGAGACTTACCTCTTCCTCAGTGGTGGCGGTGTTGACGGAGTCCATGCTTTGACAAAGGGCCAACTCCATGTTCTTGTGCTGGGGTGACGCGGCCCGGGGCGAAGGCTGCTGCGGCGGCACCAGCGCGCCTTGTGTCGCTCCTGGCGCCTGCTGCACACCTGCGCCGCCCGTTGCCGCGGGACTCTGTGCCGCCTGCAGCCCTTGAGCTGCTTGCAGACTTTGAGCCGCTTGCAGGCTTTGCGCCGCCTGGAGAGTCTGTTGCGCCTGCAGACTTTGCTGCGCCTGCAGGTTTTGCAGTGATTGGTGGGCCAGGTTCAATTGGTGCTGCTGCACGATGCTCTGTTGCACTATGCTTTGCTGCACTTTGATGTGTTGGTGTACGGCTAGTTGGTGGATAGGATGAAGGGAAGTGGGGGGTGCGGGGTACGGAGGGGAGAGCCGCTGGCGCTTCACTTGCGCACTCTGAAGCGCTTCGTGCAGCCTCTTCACCGGGAGGGGGCTCTGGCCGAGGTTATCCACGGCTGTGGCGGGGCGTGCAAGCCGAGTCACGTGACTCTGGCAAGCACTGACTATTGCAGCGACAGGCGATAAACCACGCGCGGCGCGACGCGGTATCGATATCGGCGTAACGACAACGGCGCAGCACTACGCTCGTCGTGACACGCTTGATAATTGACTCTTAAAATTGAATTTTCTATAGATTTCTTGTTTTGTAAATGTTTATTAATAATTCAGCGCCTTAGCACTTCTACTAGCAATTGTGTAAGTAGATCCTCAGCTTGTAAACCACTTCTGGAAAGAAAAGAAAATAGTAATTAGTCTTAAGATAATAATAGAATAATTAAAATTTTATTAATTTCACTTTAATAATTATTCTACAGGCAGCCGGAACCTAAAAAAATATCTTATATCTTATATTTAACAATATTTATTCCGGTTTCAATTTTACTTGATTTTAATTTAATTGAAGATGAAATCCTCTTTGAGTTCTTAATAAAAGATAAGCGTTTTTAAGTTATTCTTTGTAGATTCATTCTCTTTTCTTCGAACTTAGAATAAAATAAAACATAATATATATACTTATAGTATATAATACTCTACTAAAATCAAATATACCAATAATTTATTCCGTTATAAAATATAAAGTATTAAATTATTTTTATCATCGGGATTTAAACATACGTTTGAATTAAAGGTGCTACGATAATTCTAAACTGAATTCGCGACCGCGACTGGTAGCGCATATTTGAAACGATTATATATCCTCAAGCAAAACTTGTATTATACATACAATTCGATTCTACTAATTTCTAGTCCCTCACTTGGGTTTTTTTGGAGTTAGGTTAGGTAGCTTATTGTTTTTAATATTTATATCCAGTTTATATATTCATATTTATCGTTTTTCTTTCTATTTATATTAATATGACAAAAATAATAATGACAACTTTTATTACCATTATGTTGACTTTATTATGTTTTTATACTAAAATTGTTTTTACACAAATAATCATTACAATGCAAATAAAAATATTATTATAGTATATACTACAAAAAAGTAAGGAGAAATGACAAAACTAAATAATAAGCAACAAATAAATTATACATGTTGTATTACAGACATTAATAATATAGTATACGTGTACAGAACGAATCCGAAAAAAATATTTGTAACAATGTCTCAAATTGATATCAAACCGTACTTGGTAATTTAATACAAGTATACTATATTACATTTAAATACAAAGGCATAAGATAGGTTTTGCATGAAACATAAAAATAGTTATTTTAAAATGTCAAAGAGCGCCGATTGCAATCACGTGGGTGGTGTGAAGCCATTTAAAACTGTTAGTCAGAGTAATAAACGAGCAGAATTATCTGGATTGAAGACTAGATGAATGATATCAGTCATATTCACGTATTTTAGTAAAACGACCTATATTTCTTGGTAATATGCGAATACTACATAAATTATAACGATAAGATTTTGTTACACAATCGTGACAAATTAAATACGGACCGAACGCGAGAACAAACCTTATGCATATTTATAACTGCATTTCTATATAAAAATATGAGTAGCTGGTATAACATTTACATCAGAATGCCTTACAAATATAGCCTGATTAATCATTATATTAATACGTGAAGCAAAAACTTTGTACCACTATTTACCAAAATTGCGCCAAAAGAAGAGTATCTATTGAATTTCACACACTTATACAGTACTTAATAGTTTATGTAATAGTTAACAGTTTATATAAAATGGAGTGCAGAAAGATATTTTTTTAAATTATGCATATAACTATTATTTATAGTTTTTTAAGCATATTTTTTAAGTTATAATAATAGAATATAATAAAAGAAACATTAGATGCCATACATCTGAAACCTATATCTGAAATTGAGCCACGCATATCTCAAATTGAGAATAGATTAATGTTGTTCGTTTTTATATTATTTGTATATTATTATTTTTGTCTTGTATATAGTCTTATCTAATGTAAAAAATAAGAATAATTTAAATTAATTATGTACGGTTGAATTTCGACCATTGGACCACCACAAGTAGAATACACGTATATCATTTTAATATTGAGTACTTTCCATTATTTATTTAATTGAATAATTAGGTAAGAGTATGTCGCTTTATTTGTAGTTAGCACATTTGTATTTTTACTATTCATATTTTAGGTAACGAATAAATTTTACAGAGGAATATGAACCTATTAAATTTCTAAACATTATTTTAATAAAACAATATAAGAAGTAGCTTTTGTTTTTGTTGAACGTTGAACGTTAGATATGTGTTTATATGTATATCATGAATGTACGATTCATGCGCCAACGTGTAACCAGTGTTTTATCCTCCTCAACAGCATATTTTCATTTTTTTAACGTACCAATACCCGCTGGGCGTAGCACCCCACAGTATTTTACCTAGTTGTGTATTTTAGCTCTTAATTTATTCGTTTTTATTTCTTAATGACTTTTTCTGATTTTATATGACTAACTGGTTTTTTTCAATGACATAAAAGATTGTGATTACGATAATATTCAATTGATATAGATTTAGATAGATTCAAATATAGATTTTTCATTTAATTGATTATATTTATTTACCTACTTACATTTCATAATTTTAAATGCTTATATCCGTGAAATATGAATGTTTAAAAATAATTCTAATATGAGCAATAATTACTCCACTTAATTTTAAACATTTGTAGGAAATCTATTAATAAACTATATCTCCCTCTGAATTATGTGCTATAATTTATTACTAGTACCCAATTTTTACCATTCGTCCATGGTACACAATAATTGAAACATAAGTATATACATGTTGTAGTCTTACGCGTACATAAACCGGACTTAAAGGTACATACTGTAACAATCACGTGTAAGAACATTAGAAATTCCAAGGCTAAGTTTTTGCGGTACACCGTGACTAAGAAGTATACAAAAAAGTCGACATTACCTAGTTAAGTGACCGTAGATCGCACTTTAAAAGCAAAATATATTACGATCTACGCATAACAGAAGTATATCAACCAAGGATGTTAAGCGGAGATGACAAGATGAGCTAGATCTTAGATAAATAAGGTAGTATAGTCATTACGTGATTAGGTACTATTCGTCGATGTAAGGCCTCATCTCTCATTTGCCAATTTAAAAAATTGTAGGAATTAATACTTATAGTGTTACAGCATCTTTGACGGCCTCTTTAGCACAGCGACTTAGTTGCGATAATTGCGGGTTCTATTCTTTTGCAATCATGCATGTTTTTTTCTATTAGTCTGGGTATTTTCTATGCATCTTACACAGGGTATATGTTTACAAAAAAGAACTCATTGCACAAAGTCTGCTTAGTTTAATATTGATGGATTTAGTCAAAATTTTTAAAGTGAAAACATTATATTTCGAAACTTTAAAATTTGAAAAAACAATGAAATTGCATAACGTTTAGTATAATAGTGACGTAGTTATTATAAGGTGGTAAGGTATTGCCAGCACTGTAGGTACATAGAGCACTCGAGCTATGAACTATCATAAATGGTAGGAGGGAGAAATGTTTACTCTGTGGGATATTGCAGCATCCAACTCAACTGTATAAATAATAAAAAATATAGAAAAAAATATATATCTATTTCCAGATAAGATTTCTATTTCTAGTTCTTTTATTGTATTACTCGGCGCACAGAAACTGTTTTGATTGAAGTCAAAAAGTTATTAGGTAAAGGTTATTAAATTAGGTTATAAAACAAAATTTCGCCTATATCGGATTTGTCCCGTCACAGGAACCCGAATAAAACAGATATTCCATATTCCTATTGAGTGTGTTTGTATTTCTTTTCTGTTGCTCATTTCTACTTTACATTGCATAATTACACAATTGCATTGCAGCGAATTTGTCTCTATGCAAAAATTTACTAAATAATGATTGCAAATTGGACAAAAAATAATAACTCAGTTTCTTTTTACAATAACAGTAATTTTGAAACCTTGACTTAGTTTTAAGTCAAACACAACAAAAACTAACAGTAAATAAAATATGAAACCTATTTTTATAAATTAAGGATATAAGTTTACTTTAAAATAAATAAATATTTTTAATGAAATACAAACTTCATTCCATAAACAATAGAGATCACAAAGGTTATATACATATATAACCTATATATAATGCCCACATGGCCAGTATAAGCAAATGTTCAGGGCCACACTAACATAATATATGGGGCTCCCTAGTTCCAGCAAGCTCTTTTTGTTCGATGTTAATATGGTATAATAGTATCAATATCGTTGGGGCCTCATTACTGTAAAATGGCCAAACCCTCCAATATATTATGGAAAGCCTTATATGTAGGTCCCCTGTGGTAGAAGTTATGTGGTGAATAGTTTTCCTCTTTTCGGTCATGAAGCCTGTAAAGTGAATGCTCTCTTGTTCTCGTAGTAGGTACCTAGTTTCCAATATCTTCTGAGTTCTAGCTCAATGTCCTTATTTTATATGGTTGTGTAAATAATTCTAGTGGTAATAATAAAGATACTTTTACAATTTTTAGTTGAATTAATAAACATTAACCGAGTATAAAAATAAGATTACCACCAATAAAAATTAATAAATACCAACCGACATCATTAAATCATTTGCATAATCATCGAGCTTCACCAACTTGGTAAATAAATACGTATGTTTTAGCATATACATCTTTGTGGTACACAAAACCAAACTTTTACACTTAGGGGAGTACAAGCTCGCAGAAAAGCCCACGGTGCAATATTTCCTACTCTGCTGAATACTTTAATCCTGTGGTGTATTTATGCCGCAATGCCACCATAAATAAGTCCCGGCCAACTCTTACATTTTCCATTTGTTATAACTACTAAGTCCCTAAGAGATCCCAGACTTCGACGAAGCTTACGGGACTATCTCCGCTTCGAATAACTGATATAATTTGAATTTCAATCAGATTTTTTTAATTTTCAGATACCTATAGATGAAAGTTACGACACGCTTCAATCTTTCTTTTTCGCTTTGCCGTAGTTGAGAGAAGTCGTGAAGACTATCTATACGTATTGACATGAAAAGAAAAATTTAATTGGCTTATGAAATTAGTTAATTTCACTAATATTATATATATAATATAAATATAATATCTATTACATATGTTCGAATCCTAGAATTACATTTTTTTTTACTTTTAATATGAGTGGAACTGAAAAAAAATAATCTTTAGTTCTTTTTTCAGATTTTACGGTCACTGAATACAGCTATGACTCTATTAGTT